GGGGGGGGGGGGGCGCTACGTCGTTGACCAATATCCTCTAGTGAGTAAGTGGGAGCCCGAACCTCCTCAGATTCCAGAACTCAGCTCTCATCACCGCACAGAGCTGTCTCTTAGGAAGAAGCAGGGAAGGAGGAGAAGGTGCAGAAGAGAGAAGGGTCAACTCGGCTTGAGGAGGTCAAGGTCAAGGAGGTAGTAGTAGCGCAGCACTCGTGGGTTGGCAGATGACTTCACCCATCAAAGAGGAGAAGAGGGCATTCGAGGCAGAGGGCATGGCCCAGGCAAAGGTGTGGAGGCTTGACTCCACGCAGGGCGTCTGAGCAAAATTTGGCGAGGCCGAGGCAGTGAACGTTTCGGGGAATGGAACAGAGAGGGGAACCCCAAGCAGCCCCGCCTGTCACCAAGGCTGGACGGTGCGAGGTCCTGATTTTATCTTGAACTCGCGTTTTGTCAGTGACATCGGGCCGGACAACGGAGCATGCGCACGACCAGAGACGCGTGCAATGGGCGTTTCCTGCTGTTCTCTGAGGCCCTGTTCGCGTCTGGCATCGGTGAGGCTCCAGGAGAGCAGAATTCCGACGGAGCCGCCTGCGTGCGAGGTCTGGGAGCCTCACAGCAAGTACCAGTTAGGCTTATTCCGTCTACGGACAGAATCAGGGGGACTGCTAAGAGCTGCAAGAAACTCCACTTCTCTTTTGTCCAACTTGAACGCGCTTCAGACAGAAAGAAGACACTGATATTCTGAGAAGCGCAAACAACCTGCACTATGCTTTCAATATCCTTTCTTTCTCATGTCAGTTTCCCGCATCGGCCAACCACTTCTGCCCGAAGCGATGGCCCTGAAGGAGAAGGAAAGCTGGGGCAACCCATGGTTCTTGATCCATTTAGTCCTTCCTCACTGGTGAGCAAACTGAAGGTGGAGAGTGGCAGCAGAAAGCGCGCGAGCCAAGAAGTGACATAAAAACAACGCAGTTAATTTTGGGCACATTTTGCCCTGTTCTGGTAAGAACGGAATACGTATGCGTGAGCTGGGGGCCAAGAGTGTGTAACGCCTGCAATTTCATCTAGGAGTCAAGTGCTCTTAGAGTTGCGTTTAAAACTAACCTTGCTCACCTTGAAGGCGAATAGTAAAATTTATGCTAATGACGTAAAATTTTAGTTTTTTTTTTAACTTAGAATGTCATAAATGGCAAATTAAACACCACAGCAAGCCAAGAGAGACAGATTGGAAAAACAAGAAAAGCTTTATATTTTGGCACCACGAACAGCAAGCAGGTTTTCCCTCTTTTAGGAACAAGGGGCCCTGAGCAGCTCAGCAACTGAGAAGCAGCTTGCTTTTGGGGTCACTCCTATGTCCACGGGAACTACCACCTTCACAAGACCTGCCACCTCCCTGAGATCAGTCTCCCCCGTCGGTGAATGAAAGGAGCAGAAAGCGGGTGGGAATTGTGGCCAGAGACCAGACATCCTCAGACATCCTTGGAACCCTGCCCTGAACACCTCCTTGAATCCCTGGATGCCTGGATTCCTTCATCGGACAAGCAAGGATCCCAATGCTGACTACGGGGGCGGGGTGGGGGGGCGGGTAGTTGCGGGGTGTGAGGGGAGGCAGGGAGCGTGCAGGGTTTGGGGGCAACCTTGAGCAAGGTGCCTCACCTCTGCCTCAGTTTCCCCAAGTAAAAAGTGAGTCTCTTATGAGACTGGCTCAGCAAGACAGAGGGCAAAATAGTGAATAACTGGTAAACCATTAGCTATTATTTCTAAATTATTATTAAGGCACACAGGAGTTGCACAGCTGCCGAGGGCACCCTGTTTTGTCCGCTCCTTCCCCACCCGAGCCAGCTCTTGCAGCAGCAGCCCTCTGCTTCCGGAAACGCTCCTTTCCTTCAACGCGTGGTTTCCAAGGCAGCGACCTTCCCGCATGACTCCTCCCCTCGGCCGGTCGTTGATTGGTCGGCAAGTGTCCTGTGACCAAGCTCAGCCAATCAGCCACCGAAGGCAGGATTTCTTGACCTGCCACCGGGCCGTGGTTCGCTGCGGTGTCTATTTCAGGAGGCGGAGCCCGGGAGACGTTAGAGGCATTTCCTGTCTCTAGTGGGCATTTTTGCACCAGGGGGAAGCCGAGATAAGAGGCGCCGGGCTTGCGGGCGCTCCAGAGTCGCCCCTGGGCTCAAGTTTTCTGGCTGCCCTGCCCATAGAGGTTGCCTGGGTTTCTGTGGCTTTCACGAAACAATGCGTTTCTCTTTTTCAATTTTCAGGCTTTTCATTAAAATGGTTCGTTGGCGTCTGTTGCTTCTAATGCAAAGAAATAAAATGTCCCTTTTGCCTCCAGGTGAAGACTTTGGATGGCTTTCACTCAACATGAGGGTGTGCTTGAACTCTGCCTCCGAGTGGGCTCTGTGCTGTTCCCCAGATGCGCTCGGGAGGAGCCTGGGGGTCTCTCAGTGGGGCGGTCCGCTGCGGGCACTGACTTGATGGGGCCTCTACCAGCACGCTCCGGGGAGAGCAGCACAGATTTATTTATTCATCAATTACTTCAGGCAAGGCTTGGGGGGCCAACCAGTGTGGTAACTCATGTTAGTTCCCTGCCCGCCCCTCCGCTCCTCCCTCGTCTCTTCTGTCACACCACAAAAGGTCTGTAATTCACCCCAGAGACTTAAGATACTGCATGAATGGTCCTAAATTAGAAGGAACCTAGTGTCCCCTCTGGGGAAGTTTATAGGCTGGTAGGGAGAAAGCAAACCAACCCACAATTCACTTAATTACTTAAGCACATGACGGATCTATGTGTAAACATTCATTCATTCATCTCTCTGACAAATGTTTGTTACACTTCAGTATGATCCAGACGCTTGTGGGGTTCAAGATACAGTGGTGAAAAAGTTAGACAATGTCCCTGTCCTCAAGGAATGGGGAGTAACGGGAAGATTAACCATCCCAACACATGTTCACACATTCATCAGGCACTTTTTGGTTCAAAGTACTTTCATAATAGTTTTCTAAATCTGTCCCCCACGAGAGCCTCCTGGGGCAAGTATTCTTTCCATTTCCAGGTGATGAAACGGAGTCTAGGCTGGTAAGCGATTTGCTCAAAGTTATTTGAATTTATCTTGATACTGGTCCCAAATCTATATATTTTTTTCTACCAACATATATGTATTCTACCAGTATACACACACACACACACACACACATATATATATACACACACACATATGTATATATATAAATATACATTCTATATGTACTCTACCAGTATATATATATACACACACACACACATATATGTTTACATACACACACATATATGCATGTATACACACACATATATGTGTACATATATGTGTATATACACATATTCATTTAATTACTTATTTACTCATTCATTCATTCATTCATTCAGCAGGGCTGGCCAATAAGACAGAAGGAGAGATCCGCTGGGGGAAACTTAGTAAAAGTTTTTTGCTCCTCGAAAACAAGCAAGAGTGGAGTGAGTCAGATGTCTCCCTCTCCCATTCGTACCCCTACACATACACATACACTACGGCCAGTCTTCAACCACAGGTGTAAGGTCTGGGCCTCATAACTCCACGGAGCCACCTTGTAACTCAAGAGTCAACAGGCAAGAAGATGAAAAGTCAACAAGCTGAGAATAGCAGCAAAGAAAGGTTGAGAGAGCCTGGATTCCTGACAACACCTCGAGTTGCTATATCAATCGAGAACTGTTTTCACCAGACTTTGTACTATGGGAGACGATGCAAAGTCCCTACTGCTTAACCCAATATTGGATGTTCTGTGACTTGGTGCCTGACACATTTCTAACAGATCCAAACTGTCACCTGGAGTGTTTGGAAGGGAGCTCATCATGTCCATCTGTTTCTAAATTAAAATCTCTGGTACCCCTTAACTCAAATGGGACCTTGCGCAAGTTTCTTATAGAAGCCTCATTTTCCTGATCTGTATGATGATGTTGGTCATAGCAGTACCTACCTCATGGGATTGGTAGGATTGTGTAATTTAATACATGGGAAACATTCATGATATCTAAGTAAACTAGGAATAGATTGAACTGCCCTGCATCTGATAAAATGCATCTATGAAAAGCTTATAGCTAGCATCATAATTAATGGAGAAAGCAAATGCCTTTCCTCTAAGATCAGGAAAAACCACCTTTTAAAAAAAGAATTTATTTTTAAGTAATCTCTACACCCAATGTGGGGCTCAAACTCACAACCCCAAGATCAAGAGTCACACGCTCCAATGGCTGAGCCAGCTAGGTGCCCCAGTAACATTGTCCTTATTTTCAGACAACAGGATCATCTGTGCAGAATATCCCATGACATCTATGGAAAAGCTACTACAGCTAACAAGTGCATTTGACAAGTTTGCAGGTTACAAGATCAATTCCTATCAACATATTGTTACCTCTTTATAGTAGCAACGGACAATCGGAAACTGAAATTTAAAAAAGAATGCAAGAGTCAGCAAACTTTCTGACATATAGGTGAAGGGCTAGATAGATTTCAGGTTTGTAGGTTACATACAGTCTCTGTCACAACTCCTCAGCTCTGCTGTTGTAGGGCAAAAGCACCCCCGGACAATATGTAACTGAATGGGCGTGGCTGTGTTCCAATAAAGGTTTCATGAGAAAAACAGGCAGTGGAAGAGACTTAGCCCTTTGGTCGACCCCCGACACGTACAATAAGATGACAGATATAAAATTCCTGGGGATACAATTGACAAAAGATATGCAAGACCTGTATATTAGAAAGCTACAAAACATTGTTAAGAGAAAGCAAAGAAGACATAAATAAATTGAGAGTAGACTGTTTTCCTGGATTGGCAGGGCTCAACATTGTTAAGATGTTAGTTCTCGCCAGATTAATCTATTGATATAGTATGATCCCAGGCAAACCCCCAGGAGACTGTTTTTGTAGAAGTTGACCAGCTGATTCGAAAATTCATATGGAATTGCTAAGGACTTAGACTAGCCCAAACACCTTGAAAACAAACTTGGAAGATCTACACTATTTGCGTTCCGGAGTTATTATAAAGTTACAATAACAGGAGTGTGTGCTATTGGCAGAAAAATAGACAAGTAGATTTTTTAAAAGCCAACAATGGAATCAGAAGTCCAGAGATAGACCCACCATACTACCCATATAGACAGCTGCATTTTAACAAAGGAATAAAGGCAATTTGGTTTCACCAAATAATGCTGGAAGAATGGAATGTTCAGATGCAAAAAAACTGAGTCTCAATCCATACTATGCACCATATAGACATTTTAACACATAGACTTAAATGTAAAACCCCAAGCTCCAAAAACTTCCAGAAGAAACCATCATGGAAAATCGTCGTAGTCCTGACACAGGCAAAGCTTTCCTAAGTATAACACCAAAAGCACAGTATATAAAAAAGAATAATTTGATGAACTATTCTACATTAAAATTAATAACTCTGTCCTTCAAACAATGTTGCTAGGTTAAAAGGACAAGCCACAGATTGAAAGAAAATATTTGTAAATCACGTATTGGTAAGGCTCTTGCAC